TATATACTGTATATAATACTTAGGTTTGGGGGGAGGGGGATTTAAGTAATTTTGGCACAATTTTGGAACTTTCCAGGTAGGAATGGTAGGTATGGACATTAATAATATGTAAAATCATATGTATTTCAAATCATATGACAACATAACAAAAATGTTAACCACTTGGGATCTGTCACATATTCAGGATAAGAACAAACTATTTTCTGCATAAACATCTACTTAAATAATATTTCACACCAAAATGTCACATTATTGACATTAAATGCGTTCAAAAAGGTGTTTATGTTGACTTTGAAAAAATGTCAAGACAAATCATTCCTTCTTCACAACCTGTGATTGAACGCCCCAGCCAACAGGTCGTGATACATGTGACCTAAATGTATGTTTTAGCTGCTGCCACTGATATGGTTTGCGCAGAGATGAACAGCATGTCATAAAGGATATCAGTCTCAGTACGCTAATGACACAAGCAGATGAGAGGCAATAAAGATGACAGACAGCCCGCTGTTACAGAAGAGAGGATGAGCTCGAGCTAAATTTCATGATCGACCTGATCCACTCACTCATTTATTGTGCAATGACGTTGTAAATGAGTGTGAACAGCTTTGGCAAAAAACAAAGCCCCATTTTCCTTGCTCTTGTTCCTTGTCAGAAACTCCACCCAAGTTGACAAAAACTACATACAGATTTTTTCGTCACAATTTTCTTTAGGAGACACCAGCTGGAGGGGAGATTTTTCCACCATGATCAATCATCTTTAATGGTCGACAGCAAGTCGACAGATACAGATTCTGAAGGCTTTTGAGAACGCACTCAGTTCGAAAAGATGAAGACAGTGACGGAGCTTGCAATGAGAGAATCGGTTGCTCAGACAGCCTGACAATTACCACATCAAACGCCATCAGAACCACTAATAATACCACTCCATTAATCACACATACGCGCTCGAACTGCGTCGCTGCAAACAACGGGTGCTCTGCCACAGGAACATCACAAAGTTGAAGCATGGTAACACTCACTCATTACACTGGTAATTAACTTTTCTCTAGAATCATGCTTATTGTTTAACAAAACTACAAGGTAAGATATCCGATGAGGGGGTGTTTGTGAGCGCTGCTGTTACCTGGGCTTCTGCATACAGTGGTCTTCATTTCATGCAACATAATAAAATAAAAAAATAAGGGCAACATGCTGATACTTACATTTAGCGGGGAGGTCGTAGCCGCAGGTGATCTTGGCTTTTCCAGTTTCACAGCCATTTAACGAGTGGCACTCTTCATACAGAAGATGACCCGCGGCTCTGTGTATGCAGCCATCCACTGAAAGAGAGAAACAACACTGATGTGACAACAGAAATGTTTGTTGCAATATTAAAGGTTTTTTCCAGCTGAAATAAAAATGCTGCCATTTATTCACCATCATGTTGTTCCAAAACCACAAAAGTAGAACTGTCACGCACAACAACAGTTCATAGCCTGTGACAAGGTCTGTCTATGCCCATAGCAGAAAAAAATTGTGAGGAAAAAATATTATATTCCTAAAAAATTCTCCTTTTGTGCTCCACAGAAGACAAAGGCATTAAGGTTTGGAACACAATGAGGAAATTATGATTTCAATTCTGTGCTGAGCTATTCTTACAAGCTAATGTTTTTAAACAGGACTGAATTCATATAGGCATCAACAAAATAAAAGAGCCCTTGTGGAAGGAGGAGTCATGACCCTTTATCTACTGACACTAAAAAAGTGCTAAACCACTTCATATCCCTGACCACTGTTAATTTGTATAAAATGAATGTCTTTTGTCTTAAAGCTTTGGTTTGATTTGGTGTGTTGTTTTGCTCTCCCTTGGTTGTCCCCACCTCCCGATGTTTTAATTTCACATGGGTAAACCCAGGATGCCTTTGACTGATGGTACAGCTTACATGAGTAGGCAGAGAAACAGAAATCCAAACGGTTTCCCTCCCTCTAAAAGCCCATGACCCATTATCAATCACAGAGAAATATCATAAAGGTACAGTCATAAGAAAAATAAATAAATCTGCAGAACATGCAAGCAGAAATACACAAACAAATGCAGAGCTCCTGTACTCTACTCTCAAGAAGATCATTATAAAGAGAACATGAAATGAAAACTGACCCCATTTACAGTATGTACACGTCATTCTTAAGAAAAAACAATGGTTTTCATAATCTTTCATCAAAATGTAATAACTTTTTCAATATCTGAAATGTATTATCTGTTCTGCTAATGTAACCAAGGATGACGTTGGAAAAACACTTTAACCAATTATAGCACAGTCTACCTTTCACGAGTCGACCAATCAAATCTAGCCCTGTCCTACATTTTATAGTTTTATATACTGTATTACAGAAGAGAGGATGAGCTCGAGCTAAATTTCATGATCGACCTGATCCACTCACTCATTTATTGTGCAATGACGTTGTAAATGAGTGTGAACAGCTTTGGCAAAAAACAAAGCCCCATTTTCCTTGCTCTTGTTCCTTGTCAGAAACTCCACCCAAGTTGACAAAAACTACATACAGATTTTTTCGTCACAATTTTCTTTAGGAGACACCAGCTGGAGGGGAGATTTTTCCACCATGATCAATCATCTTTAATGGTCGACAGCAAGTCGACAGATACAGATTCTGAAGGCTTTTGAGAACGCACTCAGTTCGAAAAGATGAAGACAGTGACGGAGCTTGCAATGAGAGAATCGGTTGCTCAGACAGCCTGACAATTACCACATCAAACGCCATCAGAACGCAATGGACATGTTGACAGAGTTGTGTAGGCGTACTTCTTTACATCCTGCTGTTATGTGAAGATTGTACGTTTCTTTAATACATACAGTACAGTTGCTGAGAAATCAGCATCGATCACATGGAGGGATCACTCAAGTTCAACAATGTTCATTTTATATAACAGCTCAATAAAAAAAGAAGTTAATATTGAGAAACTTACATTTTAGAAATTGCTTACAGTACTTCTGTTCTGTCAATGAAAATAGTTCCAAAGAATGCCAAAACTGTACTGGCTGTCATGTCTCCCAGCAACAAACAGCATTTGTGTTTGATTCCTGAATGAATCAGCATTTTGAACAATTCGATTTTTGTGAATATAATAAAGAGAGTCATTTTTGGGGGGTTGTGGCTAGAAGGGATACAGCTATGGCCGGAAGTGATGCAAAATCTCGCTGGATGAAAGATAAGATGAGATGAAATTTAAAATCTCGCTGGATGGACAGGAAAAAATTAAACGGACAGTGAAGACGACAACTAGCGAAGATTTTGCAAGACGTCCAGCCATAGCTGTATCCCTTTTAGCCACAATCCTTGTTTTGTTCCTGAATGAATCAGTGAACAATTCAATGCTTCACTCATTAAGATGGACATTAATGAATTATCATTTTTAAAGAAATCGATTCAGTGAAGAATTCAATGACACAGGTGTTTTCTTCATGAATGAATTAGCGTTTTGAACAAAACAGTGCAGGGAATGGCTAATTGACTTGCTCAAAAAGTCTACTGGCGCCACCTACTGGTGTTACGATGTAACCTACATAAAGAATGACTGACAATACTTAATTCGCAGACTTGACAGTTAAAGTTACACTGCTATATATCAGCACTTTCAGCTAATCAAATTCGCGGACCATAACCAACTATTGTATAATTTTGAACACTTTATAAACCAATGTCTACAATACAGCAGGCCCCTGTAAACAAAGTCCATTACGCATAAAGCCTCTTGCTCAGCAAACAGCATTGCCGTAAAAACAGCATATTTTGCTGCATGTAAAGTACATTATTACAGCTCTTATGCATTAGCATTAAAAGTAAGTTGGCTGTGAATCACACCTCTCGTGAATACGCCTGGTCAAGCACACCACAGCCTTTGAGAGATGAGTGTTACAGGAAGTGGAGCATGTTATTGCAGATTGCAAGCACGGTTAAAAGGCAATAAATTATTGTATATGTTGAATAGGTAATCAACATGCATGTGTGAATGTTTGGGCTTTAGCAGGAAGGAAGCATTTACGCAGGAAATAAACCCTCAGTAATGTCAATCTGTTTGTAGAAGCGCATGAAGATGTGTTTACTCAAAAGTAATAATTAATAACGCTTCGCAAAATGCTTGTTTTTCATTAAGGGCAGTTAAAAGCAAAGCTCATGCTGTTACGGTTCATCCCACTTGCTTACTGATCCTAGTCCTCAAGCAACCCACTGACGAGGTTGATTTAAATTAACAGTATTTCATTTTTCATATATAACATATTAATATTATTTTATATAACGGGTTATAAATTTGTAATCTCTAACTTTTGCTTTATCATGTTTATGGAAATTTCCCAGCCTAGAAATATGTTGCACTAATACACCTTTGTACATCATAACATCAAGTTTACATGCATTCCCAACAACCCCAACATACACATGGACTAACCATGACCTAGAGGTGAGCACTAGCATAATGTCTCCCTCTAATAATGTCAGAGTTCTATTTGTACATAGCTGTTGAGCAAAATCTGGAGCTGGAGGCCAAGGATCGGATGGAGATCAGGAGATACAAGTCAATCGGCACATGATCAAAATCAAGATTTCCTTACCTCTTCACAGCCTGTCAAAGCCCATTATTATTTGACCTGATGCTGCTGGTGAACACATCAAATGTTTTTGAGCTTTTGTGAAGCCTTCTCTCCTATATCTGATTATTTGATGCGTATGCAGCTCTCATATCACTGCCCTCTGCATGTCTCGGGCTGGTCAGAAAAACATCACAAATGCTGATTTATTCTGTATCCTCACAATCCCACGCCAAGCATGTACCATACTGGCCTGATAGCTTTCATCTGTGCTCGAATCAGCCTAAAAAAAGTGTTTTTACTTTTTTTCTCTTGCTTATTTTGTGTTTATCACTGACAAGGCCAGTGACTCGGTTGAGTGGTTTCTTGTAGAAATATGTAGATTTCTAGAGACCATCAGGGTTAACGCAGACACACCAATTTCAACAATGCAAAAATGCATGTTGCATTGTAAAATCAGCAACTTTGTAGGGAGCACTGTAAAATGGCTTATAGGCATGGAAGATTTAGATGATCAGTGTTAATTTCGTTGACGAATAATTTTCGTCATAATTGTCGTCAACAACATTTTTTTCACCGACGACAATGAGACGATAACGAACTAAAACTCTTTTTGAATGACAAAAACTATGACGTAAATCTATTGACATTTTCGTCAACTAATAAAAACGAGACGAAAATGTTAGGGAGGGACGATTTGGGATGAGATTCATTCAGAATGAATCTGCTGCGTGGCTCTGAGGTTATGCATACATATGAAAAGGCGGGACATAAGCTAAAATACACTTGCTGCACGTCGCATAAAACGTAAAAAAAATGTCAATATGTGATGATGAATGTACTGCATATAGACAGGGATGACTTCAGACTAAAAACCTATGCCTATGTCTGTGTGTGTGTCTGAGTTTTCAATTAAAAAAACAGCTACTAAAAGCACTGCAAAGTAAAATAAACATGCTACCAAGTTTTGGGGTCAGTAAGCAAGAAAAATTGGATGCATTAAATTGATCAAAAGTGTCAAAGAATTGTAGAAAATTTTCACAATTTTTTCAACAAATGCTATTCTTTTGAACTTTCTATTTAACAAAGAAATCTGAAAATAAATGTATCAAGGTTTCCACAAAAACATTAAGCAGCACAACTGTTTAACAGTTAAAATAATATGAGAATGAATTCTAAAGGATCATGTGACACTGAAGACTGGAGTAATGACTGCTGAAAATTCAGCTTTGACATCACAGGAATAAATTACATTTTAAAATATATCCAAACAGAAAACAGTTATATTAACTTATAATATTTCATTATAAAAAAACAAAACAGTAGGATATGATAACTTTGCTGTGCCCTAGCTGTTTTTATATTAAAAGCACAATAAAATTACATCAATTTTGGAAATAACACTGATGGAAATGTTTAAAGAATTTTTTCATGGTCCTGTTTTAGTTTTTTATGTTTTGTTTTGTTTTGTTTTTTTGTGTTTTGTGTTTTGTGTGTTGTGTGTTGTGTTGTGTTGTGTTTGATATGTTACATTTCATGCTTAAGCTAAAAAATAAGATAAGGGACATAAAAGTGTCTGAAGTTAAAGAAAACACGGTAGTGTGAGGGTGCAGATTTAGTTCTTTGCATATCTTTCCGATCACCTCCAGCTGGTGCTAGGTGAACTCTCCCCATGAGAGAAGAGAGCCAGGCCGGGTGAGAGATGTCTTCAGGTGCCTTGGAGCCTTCACCAG